GTATTTTTACAAATCCGTTACAACACATCGAAGGGACCGATATTTGCAGGAGATTGTTACCTTCCGCATCACTTAATCGCTGATATGAATACTAGACTAGAGCTTGGTGACGAAGTAGCACAGAAGGAATTTGTGCTCTTGAAAATTTGATGGGTGGTGATCGTCCTCTGGTAATTTCATTCTTCTTATTTCTTATCTTTCAGACTCGGTTAACATTAAGATTCTGAATGCGGGTGCTTGGTCAAGAGCTTCAGAGAGAATTCCTGTTTCTCTCCCAACCGACGTAAGTTTTAAAATTGTTTGATGCTGGTAATAAAGCTTTTGTTGAAATTTTGTGCAGGAATTAGTAGTAACAGGCAGAAGTTGTCCATAATGTTGTTTACAGATAACATTGCATATGGGGTATTGTTTGTCATGGTACACTTGAAAACGTTTGACGTATTTGATACTGGTTTTTCAGCTTGAAGACTATATTCCGGAAGTGGAAGAGTTTTATAGGAGGAACCATAGTGGTCGCAAATTACAATGGCATCATTTAATGTCTAACGGAGTTGTAAGTGAATTTTTCTTTTGATAACTTTTCTTGAATGTTTCGTATCCTTTCTTCGAGCTATATTTTGTTTAGCCTACGTGTAGCCGTACCCTCCCCCGCCGCGGTTTAAAGACAAGAAATCGAAAAGTTTGCTGCTATCGTTAGGAAAGGATTTGGCGAAAGCAGAAAGTAGTTTCAAGTTTAAGACTATCTGTTTTAAAGTACGTCCAGTGTATATCTGCTTTTTTTTCCTTTTTCCTACTTCTTTGAAGACGAGGAAGAGACTAACGAAATTACTAAAAGTGAAAGATTTGCGGAAAGGTTGAAAACCCAACGGTTTTTGAAGCGGTGCGTTTCTGTTTATATAAATCAGCTTTCAAGTTGCTGAAGTAAATGTTTGTTCTATTCTTCAGATAACTTTCGCCAACAAAATAGGAAAATTCGACCTGGAAGTAACGACTTTTCAAATGGCTGTTCTCTTCGCTTGGAATGAACGACCACAAGAGAAGATTTCCTTCGAGAACTTAAGGTCATTGCTCTAAGTGTAAGACCCAATAGCTTGACCCTGCACTCCCTAACATCAGTACGAATATTCTCCATACTGTTCTCTATACATTTCCTATGGTGCTAGTAAGGAGAATCTGTTAAACAATCAAGAGCTGCTTTAGTCAGTTGGTGTCGGGTGATCATTTTCTTTTTTTCTCGTGACCTTAATGTTTGATTCAGGGGAGATATTGTAAGGAGAAATTAGATGCTGGTCACCTTTAGGTATAAGAGGGTTAATGGTCAAAGCGCTTTTAGCGGATCTTGATATTCGCGTTCAAGCCGTGGTCGAACTTGTTACGTTGTGCTCTAGGAAGAAGAACCACTCTGTGACCATTCTACCCTTCTCAAGTATATGGTTACAGGCAAAGCATACGAAAATCCTGGAAAATTTCACAAAATAACACACTGAAATTCTTTGTGGAATGTCTCAGAAAAATATGCCTTTTAGTAAGTTTGCTCGCTATCGTATTTGTCTGCAATACCAAAAGACTTTGATCTTGAGTCTCGCGTGTTACAATCACCTTTCAATTTTGCATCCCTGCTCCGGTAAACGTGGTACTTTAGTTCTCTCTAACTTATTGGGTTTCTGTCATTAATTTTAAAGGCTCGCTTCTGAACTTCCAGATTCAGAACTCCGCCGAACGCTTTGGGTAAGTCAAATTTTTTCTTTTGTTTTTTAAAACGGTCCTCTGGAAAGTTGTATTACAGGTCATTAAATTTGATCTTTTGTTCCTCTTTTTGTTTTTGCTTCCTTGCTCGTTTGTTTTTTCTCCCTTGTATGGCGTATAAATTTGAGTAACGCTGAAAAATGTGCCGTAGATTCACGTTATTTCGAAACTCATTTCAGCCAGCAAGAAGAGCTCGAAGTACTGTAGGAACCTAAGGAATGTGTTGTTCATGTTTTTATGACACCACCGGGGATCGATTTACTGGCGGGTTGAAATACCGAAAGTTGAACATACCCGGTGCAAACTTACACTGAGAAGTGTTCTATCACATGTCCCCGTCTGGAATCTGGTGTCACGCTTTAAGCTGAACTGTATGTACCGTATTCTTGAGAAATTTTTATCGTTGATGAAACTGTTGGTTTCTTTCAGTCACTAGTTGCTTTCGCCAAGCTCAAGAGACAAATTCTCTTATGTCAACCGGAAGCCAAGTCACCAAAGGATTTTACAGACAGTTCGTTATTCTGGGTCAATCAGGAATTCGCAGTAATGTAAGTTGAAAAGTTAAAGATTCTGACATGATTTCACGTCAAATGTTTGCTTGAGATGAAAGCAGAAGGTTAGCGTGTTCCAGACGTTCAGTAAGGAAAACGATGCTAAATAATTAACAGCACGATAGTGGTGGACCAGTGAAAAGTCGAGGAAGGTTTGGGTCGGGTCATTACGCCACACGACCCATACCTCCCTCGTCATCACTCATCATCGGCGTGAAGCGCAGTGTGCGCCGGGAAATGCACGTTGCCAAGTTGTGATTGTTTCAATTTTTTTTTATTTTTGCTGATTGGTTAAGAAAGTGATGCCAGTTATTTAATTCTTTCTTAGCAATCAATGCTCCTTAAACAAAACCAAAGCCTTAAGAATAGGAATGATGTTCAACTGAGTAACAATTGCTGATTCATTTTTTTTTCTTTTAGAAAAAATAGCAAAGTCCAGAAAAGAGGTAAAGTGAATCTCATAGGCCGCTTACAGCTTTCGACAGAGAAGGCAAAGCAAGAGGAGAATGATGGTATTGTGGCTCTAAGAATTCTGAGAATACAGGTAAGCATAGTTAGGCTTTATTCGACAGTGTAAGTATGTGGTAATGTGGACATAAAAGTGTTTGGTTAAACTGTGTAGTGTTTTTTATGGCTGAGATCACGGTTCAGCTACACGTGGCATAGTTAGGCTATATTCGACAGTGTAAGTATGTGGTAATGTGGACATAAAAGTGTTTGGTTAAACTGTGTAGTGTTTTTTATGGCTGAGATCACGGTTCAGCTACACGTGGCTTAATAGAGCGAGGGGTATGTGTGAGAGTGTGTGTGTGTGTGTGAATAATAGAAATATACGAGCGAACAAATGATCAGATAAACGGAGAAACAGAGTATGAAAGGGAGATATCAAGGAACGAGCGAGGAAACGAGCGAACAGTCTACGGATGGAAATGCAGGAAAGGAGGGTGAAATAAAGAAAGAGGCGAAGGAAGGAATTGAGAAATACACAGTACATTTTTCGCCTGTTATCACTCGAAATAACTTGAGTATGCAAGGATTTGTTGTGGATAGATTGGTGCAATCCTCCTACCGAAAGACTCTTGAATTTTGAGTTTCTCTATTTTGTTTTTTGAATTTTTTCTTTGTTTCCGTTTTGTAGGAAGCGATTGTGAAGATAATGAAGATGAGAAAGAGAATAACGAACGCCGCTCTTCAGACGGAATTGGTGGAAATTCTTAAGAATATGTTCATCCCCCAGAAGAAGATGATAAAGGAACAGATCGAGTGGCTAATAGACCACAAGTATCTCCGACGAGATGAGGAGGACATTAACACTTTCTTATACGTGGTATAACCACGGGACGAGAAAACGTTTTCAACTTTTTCAAACTGCCCAGCTTCAAGTCCATCCCGTGCTCAAGGCCGCCGTTCCCCTTGACCAGCGGTTGAGCTAAAGACCGTTGGTCAAAAATACAGGTTTTAAAATGAGATTGCTGTTAGGCTGTTCCAAAATCTTACTTTTGGCCATTTTTTTTTCTTAATTTCCTTTCCAAGGAAAAATACAGGAAGAGACCACCGATGAGAAGCTGAACGTGTTTTAATACGGGAATAAGTGTGGAGCCTTTGATAGAAGAGTGTTATTTAATTTATTTTCATGCAGATAACATTTATTATCGCGAGTTAGATTTTGCTCTTGGCCGCATTTTAGAAATGAAAGGGGATTGAAACTGGCATTGGCTTATTGCCTTTCTACTGTGAATTAGGAACGAGTGAAAGAAATTTCCAGAAAATTCAGCTTTCCAGAACGTCTTGTAAACATAAGATCAAAGAGGAAATTATCTGATCTTTCTATCCTTCTAAGGGGATCATTGATAAAAAAAATTACGATAAGTAAACAACAAATAAACAAACAAACAAGTAAACAAAAAGGGCTAACAAAAAGAATTTTACTTTCATTTTCATTAATTCCCTGTAATCAAAAAAGAACTAAAATGATTTGTAGTTCATCAAGGTAAAAACAAACAAACAAATAAGGAAACAAAAACACAAAAGAGAAAGTAGAAGACCAATCTGCAAAAACGAAGGCTCAGCTTCTAAGAGTGCGAGATATCTTCGCAAAGTTTGTGAAAATAAAATGACATTTCTGACAGTGTTATTGTTTTTGTGTTTTTTTTTTCTTCACCAGTCGAGGTCTGTGTCCATTTATTTAATCAACTTTCGAGAATTAATAAATTTTTAAAGGGCACTATGAAGGTGATGATGTTGGTTCACGAAAAGATATTACTACCTTTTTCCAAGAGCCTTTGGAGAACAATGTTATGGTAAATTCCTTACAGATGATTGGTAGAAGTAAAAGTGTTTTGGTTCCTAATACGAGGAACACCCTGCGCAGCTGCAGATTGACTACCTCAAAACTCAAATTTGCCGTAACACACAGAACATCCAGGTTAGTGTCAGCAGCATCCAGTGAAATAATTCTTTCGGGGGAAAATTCCCCTTGAGTAAAGGTTGTCTCTATGTCTGTTACAAATAAACGAACTTTTTTCCCCATTTTCCGGCTCAGAATTCCTTGGAGTGGTTTCTTCACGAAGATAAAAGATGTAAAAAATGTTTAAAAGATTACCCCGTGAAAAACGCAAAAAATTATGCCGTTCCTGCAAGCGAGCGTGTTCCCTGGGAACGAGCCTGTGGTTGTTTGAACGGAAGGAACCTGTGTCTAGAGATAACAGCATTGCATGACTACAGCGTGACCAAAAGGCACGATGGAGATGATTCGTCTTCTTTAAAACAAATTTGGCCCAAATGAGACAGTTAGGGCCATTACTTGTTCGAAAAATTAGTTGCAAACGAAGAATAAGGTATGGAATCGTCTTTTGACTATCAATATAAATGATTTCGGGGATAAAAGACTGATAAGAACTTGGAGATTAATCAAATGGTAGTCCTCAGCTTAAGGAAGATAATGGATACCACGCATATCATCTCAAGGCCATTTTTGCCCCGATTATTTCACGCATCAACAAATTTATGGCTCTGATAACACTGATAAAAATTTGAAGAGTCGGTAGTATCGTAAAATTTTCCGATATTTTTAGACTAAAATGTTTACTTACCTACATCACAATTCTTTACTCTATCGATTCACTAGCTTAAAACTTCATTTTATATTATTTGTTCGACGAACGCAATCAGTGGGTGAAACAGAATGGTTTTAGTCTATCAAAGGGCCTAAATAGCTCGCTTTCTTTTTGATAAATTTTTATTGTATACCGTTTTTATTCGATTAAACGCCGCGGCGTTTATTAAATTTTTCGTGATTCGAGTGCGGCGTTTCTACTAGGGCGGCATTTATTTAAAATCCAATTTATTTCTTGCAATTTATAGTATGGTAACTGACCATTTTTATTTTAAAAAAAGAGAAATATGTTTTAGTGCTTGTCTAAAAAGTAATTTTTTATATTTTTCTTAATTTTCTTCACCGTCATTGCCCTCATCAGCTCATATCTGCAAAACAATTTTAATATCAAGTTGATTGATGATAATATGTGAAAACAGCAACAGCACCACTGAACAAGTTATTATAAGTCTGATTAAAACATTATGTACAAACGATGATTTGTTCAACAGGATTGAAAAAAGCATTAAATTGGACAAGAATTATTGAATTTACTATTTGGTTTCATTTTGAACCATGACTCATCACATGTTGTGTCTGTTTGCATTGATTCAGTTTTCCAAGTCTAGAAATCATAATTATTTAATAATAATAATAATGGTAAATAGTGGCAGTATGAAATATCACACAACCCAAAATGGTGTTGTGCACTAAAATTATGGTTTTGAATTGATTGATACCTCCTGCTAATTTTTCTCTGAGATTGGGCTTTTGTTGTGTCTTCTTCTTTGAATTAAACTAACACATTTATTTTTTGCCAATCAGCAATGTCATACCAACCAAAAGTAGTTGTTATTGGAGCAGGGATAGCAGGACTGTCTGCAGCCTGTAAGTTACATGAATCAGGGCAGGTGGATGTGTGTGTCCTGGAGGCAAGTGATCGACTGGGTGGGCGAATACACACAGGCAAGGTTGGAAATAACCCAGTTGAGTTTGGTGCTTCATGGATTCATGGAACTGTGGGAAATCCCATCTTTGACCTCGCTTGTGACCTGAAATACCTACAGAAATCAGATGTTGATCAACAGATAGCATGGATTAATGAAGACAGTCGAGCTAAGCCAAAGCTAGATCCTTCTCAGCTTAAACAGAGTATTGATGATCAGATTCTAACAGAGGTTTGGAATGTATTTGAAAAGTTGATCACTGAAACAGAAGATATCACAAAAATGAAAACATTCTGCCAAGGCATCACAAAGGATAAAAGAACAATAGGGAATTACATTACCCACGGTTTTCAAACTTATCTAGACTCATGTACCTCTGACACTGCTATGATCAAAAACATAAAACGCGACCTGTTTCTATTTCTTGAAGAAAGGGAATGCAATTCAGTTGGTTGTAATTCACTGAATGACCTAAATCTTGAGGACTTTGGAGAGTATGTTTACCTGGATGGTTCAGCTTATTGTCCACTTCCTGATGGTTATGACAGAATAACTGAGGCTTTAGCAGCACAATTAAACAGTGGCTGTGTCCATTTGAATCATGAGGTAACAAAAATACACTGGGGGGCTTCAAGTGAACTTAATGATGATGCTGAAAAAAGAAATTATCCAGTCAAATTGCATTGTGGTAATGGTAAAACATTTTGTGCTGACCATGTGATCATAACTGTCTCCCTTGGTGTCCTGAAGGAAAAGCACACTACACTGTTTTGTCCTTCCTTGCCATCTGACAAAACAGATGCGATTAGAAATCTTGGTTTTGGATGTGTAGGAAAGATTTTTATTGAATTTGAAAAACCATTTTGGCCAACAGATGAGTACAGCCTTCATCTTATTGGGAACAAGAAGCAAAATCCCAAGCATGAATCAACAATAACAATTTGTCCTTGGGCTCATCATCTTTATTCAATGTACACCACTCGTCCAGGGTCTAATGTTTTGCAGGTTTGGTTCCAAGGCAATAAATCATTAGAAATTGAAAAGACCACACCTCAAGAACTTGAGAAGCAGTGTCTTGCAGCCATCAAAGAATGTACTTGTCTTGAATCACTGCCACCCATTGTGAATGTTGAAAAAACCCAGTGGGGGACAAATCCTTGGACAAGGGGATCATATACATATTTATCTAAAGCAGCTTGTGGGAGTGACTTTGATACTCTGGCCTCACCCCTCCCTGGGGAGTCATCTGGTTGTAAGGAAGCCTCTGCTTTACAACTTATGTTTGCAGGTGAGGCAACACATCGTCAGTTTTATGGAACTGTTCATGGAGCTTATTTGACTGGAATAAGGGAAGCTGAGAGGCTTTTGAACCACTTAAGGAATTGAGCCTGACACTCATCTTTACTAAGTTCAAGAATTTATTTTTTACCTTTGTTGTGCCAAAATTAGAATTACTCTTTTGTAAATTAAATGACTTGATTAAACTGCCACCAGACATTTGGATGAAAGCAGTTTGGAATGGTTGTTATCAAGAAGGTAGAAAGGATTGAAGAAATTTTGATGTAAATATTAATTTGTGTTATTGATCAGTTAAAATATTTGGGAGAGGTTTTTCTGATCTGCAATTTTGCCATCATTTCAGGGGGTTCTTGAACCAAATTCATCTTAAAAAAAAACTCATGTCTATTTAAATTGAAATTAACTGAAACTGTGTTTTGGACAAGCCATACCATTGCCATGGTAACTTAATGAGTCCTCTCCAGGGGTGGACTAGAGCAGATTTTATTTAGACGGCAGACAATCATCACTGAGGGTTTAAATTTTTTTGAAATGGAAATATCTGAAAACTTCTAACTTGGAAGCAGTGTTAAATAGTTTGTGCGTATGAAGCTAATTTTGATGGAAATATTTACCATCAACCTATATAAAATTTTCATATTAGTTCGTAAAATTAACGAGGCTGTTGTGAGTGATCCGACCTTCCTGATTCGTCAGTTTCCTTTTTTTCTTTGTGACGCGTAGATTTATCTTGGTGATTTGATAAGATGTTCTACCGTAGACAAGTTCTCACACTGATGACGAAATGAACGCATATTATTACAGCTGGGAATTTCAATGACTACTTTCCTCCTCGTTGACGGTAATGTTACGGCTACGATTCGCAGCTATTTTAAATCTGATCATATGGGGTGTAAGTTTTGTATTATCAAAAAAAATTGGTACATAGAAACTGATACCAAGCCGAGAGACAAAGCAGACCGCGAAATACTTTTTCCTAGTTATTAAAATGCGCCGATTGTGTGTTCTGTTTATACAGGTGAAAGTATGAATAAATATTGCGTATAATAAAACCTGTTGTGTAGTGAATCTCACAAGAAAATTACGTGTCTTCATTAGCTTTTTCTTGTCTGGGGAAATACATCAAGTTTTTGCGAGAGACGGAATACTGTGGTCGAAACCTTGCCTTTTTACGACCATATCTCTCCGAGATGCAGAACACATCTGGAGTCGTTTTGATGTCCTACTCAGCATTCAAAAGTAATCCTCCAAACGAATTTAAAGTGAACAAAGAAGGCTCTGATAGCATACGTCTTCCCAATAACTCTCTCGTCACGATCATAAGCGACAAGGAAGAATTCACCAACACAGCAAAGACTAACGTAGTGAAGACAATAGGTGATCTGGAAGCTTTTCGCAGTCAAATCCTCAACCGCCCCCTCTTACTGCTAGTTACTTGTGGAAAACACGTTCCACACGGGCAAAGGTACGCAACGCAGATCTTACATTCTTAGTTCTTTTTACAATGGATCAATTCAACTTCGGCGCTTACTTCGGTACAATTGTGTCGGAAATATTTCATGACGAATCATTACTTGGAAATTGCAAACAAAGTTTTCATCAAAGTCCAGTGCTAAGACTAGCTTAGCCAGGGAAAATTCCCAGAAATAATGATTGGGTTATTCTCTATGGACTAACTATACTCTGTCTGAGAAACAATAAGTTGATTAGGAAATAGAAACTTCACGGTGTCAGCTAGAACACTGTGTTAGCTAGATCGTGTTACCCCGATGAACCACCAAATTCTCTTAATTTATTTTCAAGGAAATGCGAAGCAGTCTGTAGAGGGGATAACTAACCAGATCTTTGGAATGACAAATTGGTAGTTGTGGTTTGTGTGCGGAGTTCGTTATCTCCACTCTGCCACGCAGATCGCCTTCAAAACTGCCAGCGACACTGACAGTCTGCAAACAATCCAAGAGAGGGAAAATTGTCTCGTTTACTGCAACTTGCAGATCTGACTTAAAGAAAAAAAAGACACAAATTCTGCAGGCAGTCCTCAGATATTGAAAAATCTTACTTCAAAGCGGAAATGCGATTTAGAACCTTGTAAGTCAATTTTATCTGAGCTTCATCGGTCGTTTTAGTTTCAAAAGAAAGAGGTTTCCTTCATTTCTCATTTTACCCATCAGTGTACTTTTACGATCCAGGTTGAACAACAGGGGAGAGTACCTCAGTTATCGAGACCCCGAGTGGTGGATACAGTCGAACAACACACCCTGGCGGAATCCGTATGCCCGATGGGGGAACGAAAACGGCACATCCCTGTACGAAGAGCGATATATTCGACCGGAGTTTGTTGTCAGCGTGGATACATCTAATCCCAACATTAGGCGTTTGTTAGAGGATGGGCTAGACATGGCTGAAGACATGATACGAGAAAAAGCTAGTTTTGCCATAGAGGTTAGGTAAAGGATTGATTTATTTTCCTTAAATGTAAATATATGCTATCTTTGTGAGGGTTTTTTGGATCAATATCAGTATCTGGGCAACTGCCCACCTACCCCTCCCCTAACCCAACAACAGTCAATTGATAACAAGTTAGGGTTAATGTTGGGTTAGGGGAGGGGTAGGTGGACAGTTGCCCAGATACTGATGTTGATCCGTTTTTTTTTTCCGTGAATATCGTAAATCCCTTTCAGTTCTCTTTTTCAGTTCTAGATGTCCTTGAAGAACAAAGGGCTCACAAATATTCCTTTACGGAGCGGTCATTATTTATCGCCTGAGGGGGAGGGGTGGTGGAAGGGGAAGGAGGAGGGGGGCAGAGGATTTTGATTGTGCCTCGATAATAAAATTTCCTGATCCGTCAAAAGGCTCTCTACAAGATGTTATAAACTGTTTATATTCTTTTGGCTCTGTAGTATTCTAATGCTCTTTCCCTCCCCCCCTCCCCCCCCCCCACCTCATTCATTCACAATTTTCACGATCCTTCTTACATAAATAACAGCACTAAAAAACTGTGCAGATAATTGCCCTGAATCAAGAGGAAATAATGTCTATTATCATCTCTTGCCTTAATGTAAAAATCCGAAATTGAAATAGAAAACGTTTGACACTAAGCATAACAATGGGTTCCTGATATACCTGTGCGACTTCTGAGCTTTTTCAAATGAAATGTTAGCTTTTTAAAAATCCATCTTTTAATATTCTACCAAAGCAATATCTAGATAATGGACCCAATCAGAAAACCGTGGCCAAGGTAGCCAGACTCCCAAAGAAAAGAGGAGGGGAGGGGAGGAGAGGGGTCAATGTGATAAAAGAGACAATTTTTTCATTGTTTTCCAGCTTCATACTCCGTTGGCGACGACTAATCCCCTTCCGTTACTGCTAGTTTTCGTCAGGTGGTGTAGTCAATAGAGTGACTACATCGCGTGACAAACGAAAAAGTTCATTTCTAACGTATTAATAACCATGAATAATTAACCAAGACATTTTCCAATTGAACTCCTTTTCTCGACAGTTTGATTTTAACCCCATGATTCTCCGCTGGTGGAAGACGCAAGGCATTAAACGTTACGACTCATTGGAATGTCTCGAGATGACAGCAGCTGCTGGAGCAAATTTTGTGATAACAAACTGTTCTGCTATCAATCATTTCTTCGACTGCCATCCAGCCTGGTGCGCTTGTTGGCCTTGCTACCTTTTGTTGGCAGTTCCGTACAAGTTATGGCGTAACGCAGTTCAAGGAATTCGTGACACTTCTGTCACAATGGAAGGAAATGCCGTCTCCTCGAGTCCAGGCCACTTCAACTACGGCTTGATCGATCTTCACCAGTTCCCCGTGAACAGTAATCAGCCGGGCGCTGGAGTAGGAGGCATGACATCGAGTCTTGTACCCGGGATGGCTCATGGGATTGCTTCTCACACTTTCTTTCCTCCTCCCTCCTTACATGGAACGCTGGGAAATCCCCGGTTTAAGACAAACTAGTCATTAGGGAGCCTGTATACTTTTGAATAATGATCTATTGATGTAAATATCCGATAATTCAACATAGTGTTTAACTATCAGAATTCATTATACGGACACAGAATTAAACACTCATGTTATTCTGAACTGGCATTAAAATATTTTCAAGTAAATTATATTTAGTTTTGGAGCTCATTGCATTAAATAACAAGGTACGGAGTTTATTTTTATCCGGTGCTAATTTTACTGATATTTATTACTTAAGTTTCGGCATAGTTTCTTCAGGTTCATTTAGAGACAATTATCTATCGTCTGCTTGATATTGTATTGATATTGTAAGGAGAATTTCTGTCCTGGTCACTCATGGGAGTTAAGGATTAAGAACACTACCCAGTACGCTATACTCAGCATTATGAAAGACAGAGGAAACGCCAGGCGACAAATCTCGTCAAGTTTCGCTGCCCAACAAATTATGAACCGCATTTTGTTGCGGGTTCTTTGCGGCTGACGTACGCTTGGTTTTTGCTCTTTTGGTCTCGTTTCCACTGGAGGCTCGCTACTTGATGTGTGGAGGTTGGTCCATTGAATGTCGTGGGAATTTGTTGGAGCAAAATTTTCCATGAATCCGCCATTTACTACACCGTTTGCCATTGCTTTGTTTTGATTGTGATGATTGAAGTGGTATGAATCCTCCATCTATCAAAAGGTAAAAGCCAAAAGTAGAATGATGTTTAAATTTAGGCTGAGTTCAACCTCTCATTTCGATTGAAGAACTAGACAGTTTGATATCACAAAAAAATTCCTTCAGCTCCAGTGACATTGAAAAAGAATCAATAAGGTTTTATCTCTGTCCCTGAGGCTCTCACGTTGAAAATAGGGTCAAGGAAAAATAATTTTTAGGGTTAGCATGACTCAATAACTTATAGCCCATAGTAACTGAGTCAATCGAAACCCCTTAATTGTATCATATTGAGAAGACCATGAAATAGAAATTAATTACTGACAGCTTCTTTAAAGCGAAAACCACTGATTACCTCTGGGTCATCCTTCTTATCCGCCTGCATTTTTTCCGCCAATCTTTTCGCGTAGTGAACAAAGGGGTACTCCACCATACAGCCGAACACGAACACAAAGCACGTGATTAGATAGATGTCAATTGCCCGTACGTAGGAGACGCTTGGAAACCCCTCCTGTTCGCCAATAAGGAAACTGCCCATTGCCAAAATTGTGATCGTACCGAGGGATATTCGAGCCGGTGTCGACTTGGTATCGATCCAAAACCCGACCCAGGAAAGGGCCACGATTAGTGTGGCGGGGAGGTACCAGCTTAGAAGGTAGAAGTTGATGCGCCGCTTAAATTCAAATGCTACTGAGAGTAACCCATATTTGCCTGCAAGAAAACTCAAGAGAAAATCTATTTGAAAAGCTTTCAATAAATTCCTATATCTATACGTAATGGTTTTGGCTACGTTGTTTCTTATACTAGCGGATGGGGATTGAAGAAACTCCAGAACTCCCGCTTGCCTGGCAGGAAAATAAAATGAACTTTTAAACCTATTAAGCATTGAAGTATATGAATTGATTAAATAAGACGCAAGCTTTTTTTTGTTTATTGAAGTTTACAGTGAATTATATGATATGCTGAATTAGGCACGCTTTTTTATTTTTTTCTTTCTTGCGCTCAGCTATAGGGCAAACGCATTGATGACGTCACCATGTGCAACATTTTGCTTCTTTGTTACACCTCATATGCCACTTTTATGTTTTTACCCCATTTTGACGTCATCCGTGATGTATTACAGAACCTACGCACACCATCATGGAATATACTTGTCAAATAGAACTTTTAAGAAGTTGGCTGGCCTTCTTTCGTGTTATTTTCACGGTCTCAATCCAGGCCTCTCTCTCAAGAGCCTAGTGCGCTCACCTACGAGCCATCAAGTCCCTTCAGTGGTTTAGCTGACACAGTTTAGAGTCATGACGCACATATTGTTACCTGATGTAAACTCTTGTACAGTTTTCTTCTTCTCAAATGACACGAGAACAAAATGTGCAATATGTTTGTTCAGCACTGTTAACTCGCCCCATTCGTAATGCAGATCTTCATCAGTGTAGAAAACTGTCAAGTGAAATATTAAACCAGAAGTACCTTATTAATAGCTAGGACTGATAATTGTTACCGTGGTAGAATAAAAGGATTGTAAATCACTGATTAAGTGAAAAAAATATCGAGAGGAACAAGAATGAGATGAACTTATCTTACGGCCATAGGAATGTGGGTTGGGGAGGGTGCTGCGGTGTTTAAGTGCTGCATTTTTAGATTCGTCCGACCATTGTCTGCGCCAAAAGTTGAAGAAGACTAGTTTTCCTCTCAACGCTTCTATTTACTCTTCAACGAGAAATCCCTTACAAATTCCTTTCACTCTTAATCTCTCAAATTGCTGAGTGACCAAATTTTGTACATCGTCGAGGTTTCCTAGATCACCATCATAATAATTTTCTGCACTTCGACTGTTCTTCGCCCATTTTAAACCTCTTTTGCAACCCAATTGAATCACCTATTCTTGCAAAAGTTTGAGTTGTATAAGGAGAAGTCACTTACAACTAGTGATGTTTAAGAAGCATTTCTGTTTATCCATGGGAAAATCGTGAAAGGTCATTGAGCAAGACACTGTCATACTAAGCCTGCAATGTAATAACAGTGAAGATGAAATCGATTACTTTAATAGACGAAAAAAAATATATAAGGGTATAAACCTTTTTGATAAGGGTAAGAATTAACACGTTTGCACCAAGCAACCAAGCTGAGAAAGATCATATGACAGGAATATTTTGAGACGCTCTGTCTAAAAGTTGTACCTATTTCACGAAGTTGGGCTGCGTGTTCAAATATGAAGTTAATTCCTTTTTTTGTTCAATTTTTTATCAAAATTGTCAGTTTGGATGATGACTCATCAACTGGCTCATATATACCTGGTGCTGAAGAGCACATCTCCATTAGGTGATATACGAAGACCCTCGCTTGCAGGGACCGCGCTATCAGTCTGCACGGTCTGTATAGACCTGATACCATAAATATACGTGTCAGGAGTCCACAAGTCTTTCACTAAATCGACCTTAAAGACAATGAACTTCTTTCCGCCTGCTTGATTTTCTTCATAGGCCAGATTAGGATCATTCCATCCTTGTCTGAAGAAGAACTCCAACGAGAAGTCCTACAAGAGTATATAGATGTGCGTTTCTACTTTACGCAATGTGTACCTGCGCACCTACCCCTCCCCTAATCCAACGTTAACCCTAAAATTTCAGCAGTTGACTGTTGTCGGGTTAGGGGAGGGGTAGGTGAGCAGTTGCGCAGACACTGACATTGGCTCAAAAAATAGTTTATCCGAAACTAGCTAAGTAAGAATACAGATAAATAGGGAGGAAAAAATAAACGAAAAAGCTTCAGTATACCAATAATTGCGGGAATTTCAATCAGATCTAGCGCATAGCAATCGAATTTGTCAAACACAGTATCTTCTATGTTTGACAATTGGAAGCTATCTTACTGAGCGTTAAAAAACAGTTACTAACGTCGTGCATTTAAATTGTGCAAAACGAAAAAAGGCTGAAACAGCACGCAGTTAACTCCATGTTATTGTTGTTATTGTTTTGGTATTGTCGGTAACGTAAGTACAGGATACGTTTCGAAAAAAAGTTGATGTAGAATTTTAAGAATAATTTTCAAGTGATATTTTCAGGACGAAACGTGCGTGGAATGAATTTCATACCATATCTCCTGTATCGACTTGAAGAGAGGCGACCTCGATAGAAATGTTGACCACCACTGGGTGATCTGAAAGGAAAGAAGCATTAGCATCAGATGGAGGAACGATTGCTGGAGCATGTTCCCCGTCATATCTTGAGCATCGCATCCCTCCTGTCCACGTACAAAACATTTCTCTTAATGAGGAAAAATTAAGTCAAGAGTAAAGCATTTTTGCTGAGGAATCATAGAGGTTTGGGGGAGATGAGCATGAAAACTGTGATATGGTGGGATGAGTGGGTGTCTAACAGGGGCCCGTTTCTTAAAATAAGGGGGTGTATGTTTCTAAAGAAACTGTGGTGCTGCGCGGTGGGAGAGTATAACAGGGTAGTTTAGTATTATTGACTGAGTTGATAACGTCAATTGGCCACCGTAAAGAGTTTTAAAGCTGACGTTTCGAGCGTTGGCCCTTCATAACGACGACGAAGATTGAAAAGCTGTGTTCATCAATGTCCAATGAGATAATTGAAGAACCGTTTTCTTTTTTTCTGATGCTAGCACTAAATCCTAACACCATCGGAGAGTTCTGACATTCTAACCTGTCCAGTTTGTTTTGTTAGCCAATAGTATTATTGCAGAGGTTTCAAAACTTATGAAACCTTATCTTGAAGGAAAATATCACAGACCAAATAATTTACCAGGATCTTAACCTTCGAGATGATTTAAACCTTTTTCCAAAATGGATGACAGTGCAGATACTTTAATTTTTTCGAAAATCCTTTGAATTCTGAAGGTGCGATTGACAGAGAGGGCTAATTATCAAAACAAAAATATTGCCATAATTTTGGAAAAAGGTCACAACTACATTAACAATCTGTGTTGCCTGCCTCGAGGAAAAAATGTCTTTGGTCTTCTTGTCTTATCGTAGATGATCCCGTTTCTCACACAGTACACCAGGTCCTGAGTCGTCTTGTACACAGATACGTTACAACGACTTTCGTCAGCTAAAATGGAACTAAGGGAGATAAAGATAGCCGATTAAAAATCCTAATTCTGCGGATTAATCCCTTCCCGATGTTAATTTTAGTTTAGGACAATGGCTTCAATATAATTTGACTAGATTGGTGACTAAAGGAAAGAAATATAACGTACGGTATTTTGAATAATTTTAATTCCCTATGTAAGCAATAAAGAAATTCAATGTTTTAGATAGCTAAGTTAGAGATCTTTTGTTTCCTGATGGTGAGAACCACCAGATGAAAAGAATCGAAACATCCACAAATAAACTTATATGGAATAGTTAATGACGAATAACAATTTAATCGAAAACTTGGGATATGCGTTTTTATCATGTCGTTTAACCGACAGACTGAGAAGCTAACTCAAACAGTGACTGTATCTCTTTTGAAACTAAAAATGAGCCTAAGTGGTGAATAATGATAGTTTGGCTTTGATATTCTATTCTAAATAACAAACGCGAAAGAGAAGAAAATAATATTGTATCAACAAAATCGATAGCACACGAGTACTAATTCTCCGACTTAAATTGACAAGTTTCTTTTTAGTTCTAGCTATTAATAATAAGTAGTGAGTTTTCTCTGTTTTGTGATAATCATTTCCATGCATTTATTGAAACAGATAACTATGCATTTACGAAAAGTGAAACTGTATAGGTTCAAATTGATTCCTGAGGAAGTTATTTGAACATAGCTTGAAACTAAAGAAATCGTTCTTTAAAGTGTGAATTACCGTAATACATTTTTATTTGAATGCGGAGAACTCTGGTCTAGACAGTTGGGAATGAAATTTTAATCAGCTATAGATGTCTGAAGCTAGGCTCTTTTACTTGGACGACCCGTCATGTTATGAACACAAGTAGTTCTTCGGGCTCACGTCCGACAAACTTTGTAGGTAAAAATCTGGTTCATATGTCTCTAAATACCTTGAAACTACGAATCGACGTTTTACGCGTTGCATTACCTTGTGACTGGAGCTGAAATGCACCTCACTTTTGCCACAAAAGCGACGAAAGCTAAAATGGGATGGCAAATTGTGAAAATGACTTTCTGCTTACCTCATAACGAATTCACTCCATATAAACATAAAAACCACGTACGAGTAAAACTTAGCCATGATATCGACCTGTAAACAAAAAACGATGAAAGTCGAATTTCTGAAGTATATTTTGGCCGACCGGTATTTTTGGTAACGTTTGCAATTAGAACGCTGCCAGAAATTTAAATTCCGTAAATTATACATGCAACACTATACTAAGTAATATGATAGCGAAGGAGCGTGATGCGAACAGGTGTTTACGTTAAGAGAGACATACAGCTCATACTGCAGCGATGGAGTGGGGCGGTCTTGCTCTTTATTGGTCAATAAGAGGACCCCTTCCTTTGTTTTGTTAGCTGAAGATTGTCGATGAATTATGAAACCCAAACTGGGGTGACCACAAAATTGCTTTCCAAGATTGTGTAATTGAAAACCCCGCCTCGCTTCGAAAACAATCATATTTTTACAAAATATTCGTAATTTAAGTTGCCCCTATAAAAATGAGGTTTATTTGCAAATAAAGGCAAGAAAGTCGTTTTCTCATGTAAAGTTCTTTTGTGTCCCTGAGGCAAGTAGTTTTTTTCACTCCGTGGAAAAAAATCAATCTCAAGCAGTAAGAGATTGAACTATTTTGTTCATCAATAGTCTGATGACATGATTAAAGAACTGTTTTTTCTTGCTGATGCTAGCACAATATCCTTACACCATCGAAGAAGAGAACTTCACATGAATTTCACGAGTTCTCGCTGGATAAAAGTAACAATGTAAACGTTTTAAAGAAAATTGTTCGGAAAATTGACAAAATTTATCAGTTTTTACTTGTTCCTCGCTGGTCAGTAATGTCGTATGATTTGGTCAAGGCGCCGGCCGGTTTATACCACGGGTAGTTATCAAGTCGTGCTTGTTTAGCGGGTTCCCCAGGAGGTTATGTTCTGATTTGTGAATCTTCTTCTAAATAGTTTGAGAACTAATAATAGCTCAGTGGTTTAAGATAAATGTCAAATGAGTTATGCTGATGGCAATTAGCAATTCAGACGGAACACTTTGAGAACTAACTTTTGGTAATTACCACATTATTTATTAATTAATTTCGAAACTTCGAAAATATTGTGATTGTGTGGTCGCACGAGAAAATAAAAATAGAAGCTTAATCGCCGCTGGCAAAAACTGATCTCATAGTAAAATAGTTTGTGCAGTTTCGTATTTTTCCCCCTAAGACTGCATCAAAATGATACGAATATTTTACTCTCTGTAAAACATTATGTGAATATTTTGTACACGTTTGCTAATTTTGAAATTTTATCTGGTCTTTGATATGAAATTGTTTGATATTTGATACTGCCGACGTAAAATGAGATTTCTGTTCTTCATTTTAGAGGGAAAAAAAATTGTGTTGCACGATCAAAATTTTCCTGCTCCATCAGGAAAGCAAAGTCTTGCGAAATTTTCTAGAATTAAGTGGCAACGTTTCATTATGTTCAAACTTAATGATCGTGACCTTGGAGCCGAATAAAAAAGATCGACACTTTTCCTCGTTAACAGATGAGCGTATTATGAAGAAGCCTGAAAAAGAGAGCAGAGAGGAGTTTTGTGGCCTTGACAAAGTTCGGATCAATATCAGTATCTGGGCAACTGCCCACCTACCCCTCCCCTAACTCAATAGACTGTCGTTGGGTTAGGGGAGGGGTAGGTGGGCAGTTGCCCAGATACTGATATTGATCCCAAAGTTCAATGGAAAAGCTGCTGTCCCCTCCTTTCCTCTTCCTCCCACCCCTGAAATGTGAATGACGTCAGAGGCCCCCTCTGCATCGCAGCTCGGTCATTTTCAATCACTTGCCACCGACACTGAGGTGAATAGTTGTTATTTTAATACCACACAAGTGAATAGTGCTTTTCGCGCGCGCTTATTGGCTAGTTCGGAAGTGAATAGCAAGTACTATTCATCTCGACACTCATTCATCTCCGAGCGGCCGATTAGACGAAAGCGCGCGTCGAGAGTTTAATTTCTGACCATTTTTCTGTATATTGAAAGAAATAAACTAAGCTTTTGGTATCTGTATGGTATTTACTAAAACGATTATTCACATCAGTGTGAGTGAAAGTGGGGGATATTTACCTCCACTTTGGAGAAAAATTGTTAAATATTGTAAAGAGGACCCAAGTTTTCTTTGTTGGCGAAGAAAGGGGTGCGGTTATAATGTTCAACCATTTTCTTGTTTAATTTTTGTTGCTGCTATTAAACGCCTTTTGCCTGTTCCTTTTTTCTTCGTCTTTGTTTGGAAGGGGAAAGGAAGCCAAAGGAAATTCATTACACATCAACACTTTATTTTCTCCCACAAAATCAAGACCGGGTATTCAATTTCATAAGTGGTGTTTATTTTGCCAAGTGACACCAACGGACATCAGTTCTTCTTTTATCTCAAAATATTTAACTCTATTACGCCAAAGTTTTGTTAATCCGTTCACTAATTTTCCTTTTAATTTTTGCTTTGACTTTTGGCCTTAATCCCAGATCGAATCCATGTGGATTTACTTTTATCACACGCTGTACATTAGGACACAAGTTGCAGTCAATAAGTTTTTGAACCTGCTTTTGTTGTTTTTGTCATTGAAGCATGATAGTGTTAGCTGTAGTCAAGCGAATAATTCACTGGCTCATTATCAAGTGCCACATGTCAGTAAACAATATACAAACTAGGTAAATGGGATTATGTTGTCGTTGATTCCTCCACAAACTAAAGCTTTGATCTACGGAAATTCACTATGTTTTCTTTATTTCTTTCGCTTACTTTGTGTCAAGACCAGTAAACAATGCCAGCGGCAAGATTTCCACTTCAATTAGCAACTGATCATACAATTTTAATATCGGACAAGGCGGCACAAAAAGAGAACAAAGCCTTCCCACGTAATTAGTGGTACTGGTTTCACGATTGAAAAAAAGTGTAATGATTGGCCAATTACAGCGCTCTACAACAACTCATAAACAAATTATCGCCGCGTAAATTTTGTTTCACCAAGTGGTCCGCTTTCGCCTGAGAATTGTCGCAATTCGGAACAGTTTCCAATTTTATTTCGCCGCATGGTTATACATAGCTGTCTCAATGTCGCTCTGGAAGAATAAGGACTTTTGATATTTGGTTCGCAGTATTGTGAAAGAGCGAGACAGCCTTCGTTTATAATACACAGTGAGCGAGACTATGATGTCAAATGTTGAAAGAGACTTGAATGGAAACGTAAAACATAAGAAATCCTTCACCCGGTTTCCTGAAGATTTGATAATCCGCGAGACCGTTCCCGGTCAGGACACAACTGAAGAGCTGGAATTGATTGTACAGAGCTCGGAAAAAATCGACGTGAACTGCTTGAATGAGTACGGCCATACTGTGTTGAGTACGGCGGCATTTGTAGGCAGTATGAAATGTTGTAGGATACTTGTTGAACTTGGAGCAGAAGTAGGAAAACAGGACGAAGATGGCTGGACTGCGATGCATTATGCCATGGCAAAGGGATATTTGGACATTGTAAAATATTTGGTTATGTGTGGAGGAGATTTATTCGCTAAAAATAACGACGGCGACGCACCATTGGATTTTGTCGAAGATAACGAAATTAAAGAAATACTCTTAGCGAGTTACGAAAAATATTCGCAGAGCAAATCCGAAGTATAATCGGTGCATCTAGCGTGACTCAAGTGTGAATTTTGTGGAGTCGTCAAGATTGATGTCTTCTGTCGCATAAATTTAGGATAGACACTCTAATCAATATTGCATGCCTTGCAGGTTGATTTCATGTCAGTTACGAATGTAATTAAAAGCGATTTTTGCACGAAGTGAAAAAGAAAGAATATTATAAGAACTATAAAAACGTCAAATGCATGATTTAATGGACAAACAAAGCTCCTTTAATAGAGTACAAATTTTGAATAAATTTGAAATAAGTTTGTCTATCGCTTAAAGGACATTCAGGAATGTTGTGCCAGACTTAAGTTGTTATACCTTTTTTTAAAACTTCCAATGGTCTCAGAATTTAAAATAACAAAGGCCAATTCAACACTATACTTTTATTTCTGGCAAAAATTTTATCCCAAAGTTGAATGACAAAGAAATTTGAAGAATTAGTTAACTCGCGACAGAGTTCGTGATTAATTAATTAGCAAACGAAAACTTTTAAATGATAAAAAAAAGAGTCCAAAATCTTAATCTTTTTGTTCGGACTTTACTCAAGTTATGCGTCACCAAAGGCATATTTTCCGAACTTTTGGCGGAAATCTCTTTCCTCTTTGAAGAATTCGTCTATCATGATCATCAGTCTTGGGTCTCTGATACCTCGGCTTGCCCATGAACGCAGATTGGTCAATTTTTCTTCGACTTGATAGGTCAGGTTTCCATAACCGCGACTGAGTATCTTCTTACTACAAATATTCAATTCCTCTGTCGGTAAGTCTGTCTTCTTGATATCCTGTAGAACGACGTGTGTAAAGCGAACGCTTTGATGTGTCATCAACCGTTGTGCTTGTAACAACCAAGCTTTGGAACACTCAGACAGAAGCTTATAAAAAGGGTCTTGGGGGTCTGATTCAAAGCAACCCAGGCAAAGAAAAAGATACATCTTATTCAGGAGGAGATTGATGTATTCGTTGATCTCTTTGTCGTAAGGGCTGAAAAGAACAAAGTTTAGATCGGTTACCGACATTTTAAAAGATATTTGTCCCTTTGGTGCGCGAGAGCTCTCCCTGGAATAACTATCGGGGTAGAAATCACACTTATGTTAACTGAAAAGACTTGGTTACCAATGACTCATTGGTAACCAAGTCTTTTCAGTAGGAGTTGTTCTAAAATTTCACCAATTTTCTGCCGTGCCCCATCTCCTTTTTTCGCCTAAAAAAAGATATTACCAATTAAATGTTATCAAAATGCTCTTTCTATTTTGTTTTTTTCAAGATAAACAGATGAAAGTCAGTTCCAGTCAATTGTTCTGTCACTAATTTCTGTAAGAAAAAGGGACAAGGGGCATTACTCCAAGTAAATGAGATGTGAGTCCATCACAAGGTCCCCTCAGTAAATGTTCTTGCCATTTAACTATCATTTACACAAAACCGTCACTTCTCAGCCAACAGCTAAAATTTCAGCTGATTTTCGTCATTAAGGTCCTTTCATTGTCAAAAAAAGAGAGCTACTTACCTCAGATATATGATGAATTTCAACAATTTGATTTTGTCTTTTGCTTTCATCTTTTATGACATTTAGTGGCGGTATCATGGCCCTGACATCCTCTGAGAGAGACATCCGCAATGCATGGCAAGCGTCAAGTGGTTTAAATCTGCCGCTCGTATGATAATCGGAAATTTTGAAAAAAAATCCGCCATTGTTCCAAAGTAGCCATATACGGTCATTGTTAATCGTTAAACAAAGCCTGCTTAACTCTAAGCTGATCCGCTTTTCTTGATACGAGTGAATTGTTCCATTAACGAGTCAAGGTAACCACTAGATCAATAAGGTGTCTCTAATAAACATCCACTTCGATTCTTAGTGCCCAATTCCTTCCCATTACCTTTCAGAAAACTTGACAGAAGGCTGAAACACTTTTAAATCAATGTTCTTTGGAACCATGGAATTGCTCTTTAGTTGCTCTTCGAACTGAATGCACCGTAATCCTGAAGGGTACTCGGTAAAAGTGTGACTCAAAAGCTCCCAGGAACCTTGCGCATCTGTAACCTCTCTACGCACTGTAAAAGATTGATCTTCAGGAAGTTCAGTTTGAGAGCCGTCAAGGAGGGACACTTTAATTTCACAAGCACCAGAACCTCCAGTTTCGACGGCGAACCTATGGAAAAATAGATGAATGAATAATATTAGCCGATCAAAAGCCATAAAAGTGAGACGAAAATACCGTGAAACACTGTTTTTTCTCTCGTCAGCTAAACGATAGGAGGATCGCGTTACTTTTGTTTATAATAATCACAATAACAATAAAATAAATACTGATGATATAATAGTAATGATACTCGAGAAGTTGAATAACAACATTACTATGAAAATATAAAAATACTACTAACTACTATCACTGTTGTTGTCTTTATGAAAATGCAGTATTTTCCAACTAACCATTCTTTAACCTCAATCGGCTTTCGTTGGTCTAAATATCTTACAGCGATTTCTTTACTCAAAAGGTCTATAAGTTGACTTCTCCTACCAATTCCATCCGCATTTTTAACCGCGATATTCCAAGCACTTTTTTCTTCTCGTTCTGGTCCATCTGAAGTGCATAAAAAGAAAGGTATATAAATGGAAAGAGAAAGTAAATTTCATTGGGTAGCTTTCGCGCGCGAACACCTGTTTTTTTTAAAAATAACGATAACATGTTTCATCCCTTCTAGTTCCGTGACGTTGTTACCTCTTGTCAACTAATCGAAGTAGGTGTACATTTCGAGGCTCTGTTCCAGTGAAACATCACTGTTAGCTGAAAATAGATAGGGGGGAACACTGTCTCGCGGATATTTAAATGTAAGAGAAGGCATTAATCTCTAAACCTTGCTACAAACTAATCGAAGACAATACTTAATGAAAATCCCATCAATATCTCTTCTTCGCGTCTTTAATTCTTGTCTCTCTTTAATGGTTAAAAGTGCATGTGAATTCGTCGGAAAAAAAAAATCTCGTGTTTTCCACGAAAAACTGTACTCTTGTTTGAGATACGTATTCATCTTTGCTTCTTACATTTTAGTTGATGTTCCAGTCTGTAGTCTGTGCTGACAGAACCAGTAAATCTCCAAAGATCGGTTTTGATATCGTAGGCATACCCATACGCGTCGAAGCCTCTAGAGGGTTCAAAGTTCGGATTGTTTATAAGATTGGAAAACGACCTTCGGAGTCCAGCGTAAAAACAAACAAACAATTATGGAAGAGAGCCTTACATTTCGTGTCGCTGCACCAAAAATGTCATGACAAGCGGTATTGTGGTTACACTATTCGAATGCCATTTTTGATAAGACGCCATCTCGGCTTTATCTCTCATGCGTTTATAGAATTATCTTTTATTTCCCAAAGCGGATCGAAATATGGAAGCATGGCCTTCAAAGGCAAAGTTTTCACCCCGACGGAAACTAGTTTTGTTCATATTAATTTTAAAAAAGCAAAGGGAATTTAGTTTCCGTTCGCAAGAATTCATTACACATAAATTTATTGCGTGTGTGAATTACTGATGCATGTACGTTCCTCAAAAGTTGACCAGAATTGTGGAACCTGAGTTACAAAACTCTAATAGAATGGAGAATTCTTGAATAACATTTTCACATGTCTCTAACTCCTGACGATGGTTATGGAAATAAACAAAAGTATTTGTTTGTTTTGGTCGATTTGGATATTGCATGGCGTGTATACGTTCACCCTTAAAGTCTTTCTCCTAAATAATAAAATAACTCACCATTCATAAAATTCAACTGTGGGCTTTTCTTCGTCCAAATAAAGTAAATCCTTAATACCTCTCAGTCTAAAAGGTCAATTGTCTGAATCCTCTCACAAACTCCTGCTAGGTTTTTAACTGTAATGTTCCAGGGGAACTCAACATCTTGTTCTGGCCATTCATTCTTTCCTGATCATAGGAGTAGCTAAGTTAATTTCCACTACAAGTAACTTATTGGTACTAAAGTTCGCGATTTTGATATGAAGGTTTTACGCGGGATTTCATTTTTGCGCTTTCAATGGACAAATTCAAAACGTTCAAGATAAAAGTTAAAATTGATAAAACAGAATATTCATCTGAGATATGCGTTTTTGTCTCACCTTGAGGTCTGTTTTTCAGTCTATAGCAGGTCTCGTGCGTATTAACCAACTTCCAAGGTTCGGTTTTGATATCATAGGCACAGCCATCTAAATCAAACTCTCCAGTGGGCTCTAAGTTTGGACTCTCTATGAAATTGTCTCCTATTTTAACTTCCGTGAGACAAAGCAACGAGTACAAAGAGGAATGAAAAGGACGCCGCATTTATGGACGTTATAAAAAAGTGTGGCTGTAATGGTATGAACTATGATTGAGGAAGTATGCTTCAAAATTCGTACAGCTTTCATCGCTGCAAAAAAACAAAAATCGTTTCCATATGTGCTAAAAATTGCGCTTCGGAAGCCGCCATTTTGAAAAAATTCAGTAACTTGCAGGCCGCCTAAACGCTTGACACCCCAAAATTCAATTCAGGTGGTGGAAACCAAAACGCGCTGGTCACAAACAGCTGCTGCCTTGGTTAACTGTCTTTCTGTTTTTACTTTTTCCAGAGCTGAAGTTCATATTAATTTGATTTGAGAGCCGCCATGTGATATCCTAAGGTCTGTTAGCTTGCAGGATAGAGGCCACAGTGCTAAGCAAGATTCAAGATTGCGGCATCGGTGGCCCGATTTTTAGCGCATTTGACGACAGTTTTCGATAGGTACCTATCATAGGTTGTTGAATATTTTTTTATGGCGAGGTCAAATGAAATATTGTTTCTGTAGCATTACCCTCTTTTAAGGAAGGGGAAAAATTTGCCTTGTGACGAAGAGTGAGGTTCTTTTTGCACGCCTAATAACTTAAGGTCTCACCAATACCATGCCATTCAAGCTTTCACTGAATGTCCCATCCCTCCTCCCCCCCCTCTCTAATAAGAAACATTCACAGTTACCATCACTGGTGCGGACACTTGTAGCCGGGCTCCTTATACCCATTCCGCGGGTTTTACTGACAATTGAAATGCAGAAAGGGTAATCACGGTGTGGCGCCAAACCCGTCATGATTTTCTCAATTTTCGATAGTTCTACTTCTACGTGCTTCCATTTTGGATATCGTACATTTCGTTTGATTCGATGCCAAACAACGTAGTTTGAAAAATCCTGGGCTTGAGACCCTTCAACTGG